GGCCACATCAGCTCTGATCAACTTCCACACATCTCCACACGATGGCCCTGTACGTGTGCCTGTACATAATGTCTCCCCTCTTCCCCCGCCGACCCGAGGAGCCTAGAGCACTGGCTTCTGGAGGCAGAGCCCTGCAGAGGCTGGCTGAGGGGAGACAGGTGACTGTGGGTCACCAAGCTGTGCAGTCAGCTTTGTCCAAAAGAAGCCTTGGCAGAACACCATGCTGGGCATGGAGGTGGCGTGTGCCAAAAAAAAAAAAAAAAAATAGGAGAGGGCAAAATTATTTGACCTGGAAAATTGCAAATTCAATAAAAAGGGGTTTAAAGGTGACAGAGAAAGATGAACAATGGGGGAGCTGGGAGACGTCCCAAGATGAGAAAGCACAGAGATGGCTCCAGCCTACAGGACAGGACCCCCGAGCCCGTGTGGCTGCAGGTGTGCAGCACAGTGGTTTGTCAGCACCTTCATGTCCAAAGCTCTTGAATACTTTGGTCCTTTTGATAACCCATTTTATAGATAAGAAGACTGAGGGGCTCAGGGGCTCAGTGCCACATAGGTACTAAAGATTAGGTTTTGGATTTTAACCTAGAAGCCTCCAGACCCCAAGATCCAAACCCTGTCTCTTTACAGCACTGTCCCACAGAAACACACTTCTGCTCCCTCTTCAGCTGTGGGTCCCCACCTTCCTTGGTGGGTGGACCATTTCAGACAGTATCGGAGTTTCCAGGACTTGGGTGAGTTCAAGTGGAGGCCACACGGGCTGCTCTGAAGGGAATTCAAGTGTATAATGGGTATTTGGACACAATGATTTTTTTTAAAGACAGGGTTTTGCTCTGTCACCCCAGGCTAGAGTGCAGTGGCATTATCGCACCTCATGGCAACCTCAAACTCGCGGGCTCAAGCAATCCTCCTGCCTCAGCCTCCTGAGGAGCTGGGAATACAGGCACCACCATGTCTGGCTAATTTTTCTGTTTTTAGTAGAGACAGGGTCTCGCTCCTGCCTAGGCTGGTGTTGAACTCCTGGCTCCAAGGGATCCTCCCCTCTCAGGCTCCCACAGTGCTGGGGTTACAGGCGTAAGCCACCATGCCTGGTCTGGACAGAATGATCTTTATCGTATTTTCTGTCTCAAAGATTCTAAGACTTCAGAAGTGACCCTACCCTGGCAAGTGCAGTGAGGCCAAGACTGCCCACAGGGGAGCAGCAGAGGCTGCTCTGAGTGCCCCCTCCTCCACCCATAGTTTTGTCCTCCCAGGACTGACGCCAGCCACTTCCCACTGCCCATGTGTCTGTGTGCACAGGCCTCTCTGGCCACAAGCAGGACCGGAGACAAAGGCCAAGTCACATCATTGACTCCTCTGAAGTGGCACGGGGCCACCTGATGTTCTCAGTGTTCCTCAGCCTGGGAGGGACACTCTCTTCAAGTGCAGCTTTCTTCCCATAAATTCCACTGCTGTGCAGGCTGCCAGGTCCCAGTGTGATGCTAGGAGCAGGCATGAGCAGGGAGGATTTACAAAGCCCATTTCATGGCAGGTGGTTCTTGTAGGGCCGCCCAGCTTTTCCCTCACTGTTTGGGTGAGCATGCGTGTGCACCTGTGTGCGCCTATGCCTGCATGCATGCACAGATGTTGTGTATGTGTGGCATGTGCCCGTTGTATGCACACATGTGTGCACGTTTATGTGTACGTGTGTGTATCCCAGCATGTCAGGTGGCCAGGGACTGGCTGCCGCGTGCTGACATTCCCTGGCAAAGTGAAAGGAGAGGTGGGACCTGGGCAGACCAAAGTAGGCACCAGGCCTCCTACCTAATCCTGGCCGACTCCTGGGTGCCCGACACCCGTGACAACTCAGGGTGAGGGAGCCCCAGGGGTCTGCCACGGCCACCCTCACAGCCCATGAGCACTTGTGTGTGAACAGGGCAGGAGGCTCAGGAAAGCAAGTCCTTCTCATCAGAGAAAGACAGGGCCTGACCCAGCCACACTGTCCTGGATACCACGTGTACCAGGACATTTTGCCTTTGTCTTCTGAGAAAGCAGCGAGCACTATGCAGAACTCCAGCAGAATCCAGGTATACCCAGGTACTGTACTTCCCAGAGTTCCCACCCGTGGCCTTCCTGCTCTCCAGGAGCACAGTCCAGTCCCATACTTTACACACCTGCTAATCCCACCAGGCCATACCGTCTCCCTCCTCCTCAACTCCCTTCCAGAGAGTAACCTTCACGGGATATAGGGACTTGAAAAGGTCATCAGCAAAACAGTTTTGAGACAACAGCCAGTGCCCAGGGGAGTGGGGGACCCAAGGGACAGTGGTGCCTGGTAGGTCCTTGTGACCCCTTGGAAAAACCTGTGCAGACTAGAAACAGAGAAACAAAGGGAGGCAGAGTCGCATGGTCTGACATCGTGAGTATTTTATCCCTCTCCTCCACAGCAGCAGTTCAAACAGACACGAATGATGCCTGCAGCATTTCAGAAAGACCGCCATAGAGTCACCTGTGCTGGAGCAGCCTCACACTGCCCAGGACGCAGAGGCCCTCGCGTGGCACGGCACACAGCCAGTCCAGTGGGACATGGGCCTGCGAGTCTGGCTGCCCCTCCCTGACAAATTTGGATAGACCAAAAACACTTCCATCCTGCACTTCATAAAGCTTGTGAGTAGCAAAACTTGTAAAAATGAAGTGTACAAAAGGAAACATCCATATGATACATTTGTACCCTGTATACAACAGACCCCTTCGGAGCCAGCCCACAGTCAGCATGGCACATTTTCAATAACAGAAAAAGAACCCAAATGTCTCTCACATGCATTGGAGTCAACGGTTTATGCGATTTTTCCAGAGAGAGATATTTTCATATACAGTTACAGTACTTGCTGGCGATCTTTATGATTAGGAAGCCAGTTGAATTTCCCTGCATTTAGGCAAGTATTTGATTGTCATAGTGTACAATTCTGAGACAATAAATACAAGTAGATCAAATCATTTCTTCATTGTATCAAGTAACTCCAGTTTAATTTAATACAATTTAGTGCATTTCAGTATCTCATTCACAGTTCGACTTCTGTCCAAATATTTTTGCAACAAAAAGAAACTGAAAAGTTAATGAGAAAACTCCAGGTGAACTTGTAATTACAAAGCTTAAAATTTTAAGATAATTCAATGATCTCTGAAAAGCATGTATGCTGCTGTTGCCTGGGCTGACCACGCCAACTTCTCCGGCAGCTTCCTGACAGTCTTTTTGGTGGTGTGTCTCCCTAGCACTTCATATGAATGTCACCATATCCCTGAATTAACAAGCAGCAAATGCTCATAATGGAACTGAATTCATGTGTGTTTACCCCACTGCAGCAGATCACAGTGTGACATCTTTCACCCAAGAGCCATCCCTGTTTTTCCACCCCGGCCTTGATATGCAAGAGCGTGAACATGCGTCTGCACCCACCCCGACAGCCCTCCAGAGGGTTATGGGACAGCACCAGAGTCGAGGCCCTGGTGTGGCCAGGCCCACCCCCAGGCCTAAGGTGCTCTGGAGCAGCTGCTTAGGGTTTGGCCAGAGAAAGGGGCAGGCACTTGGGCCAGGGATGTGCCGTTTCCAGAAAGAAGGCAGGCAGGCATTTCAGGCTCGCCATTTTAACCCTGAGCCTAGTTCATTGCAGGTTAGCCACCTCACACCACCGGCACCGCATGCAGCTAGCTACCGGTAAGAAGTCTGCATCGTGAGCTGATGTGCAGGGTGGAACGATCCAGACGAAAGTCAGCAGGGCTGAAAAGATTATATTTGGCTTGTCCTAAAAGTGTCTCGGGCAGAGATAATGCATGCAGAAAAAGTTACTTATTCTTCACCCCAGATCTGACACAGCCTGGCAGTCACAATGGGTGTGGACAGCCTGTTACAGCTCTTGAATTGCACATGAGTGTAACACATGGCTGGGGCCGATCACTGCTTTTTCTTCAGATCAACCTTAATGCTTAGTAAAACCTCGGCTAAATTGGTACAAGGAAAGATTCTCATGCCAAGGTGCACAGAAGGGGAGCGATGGGGACAGAGAAGGTGGAAAGGTTCAGAACTGATCAATGATAATACTTGCATTATTTTTTACAAGAAAGTGCTGCTTACATTGTTTCATGTTATTTTGTGACATATATTCAGAGTTCATCTCTTTAACCATAGTCTGTGCTTCTTGAGGACAGGGGCCCGAAAGGGCCTCAAATAGGGCTGAGCATCTGGTGCACTGTCACCAAGTACTGGACAGCATCAATTCTCTGGGTCAAAAGTCTTATTGATGAGCGGCCATTTCAAGCCCTCCTCAAGGCCTTAATGGAGAGAACCAGTGTCCCCCAGCCTGTGAACTGCTCTCCCACACGCCAGCCAGGCTTTCCCCACTGTCTGCTCACCTGCAATGCTTACAGTGCTAACGGAAGGACCCCAGAGGGAGAAGCCAGAAGGTCCCTAGATGCTGGTAACTCCATAAAGGCACCTTGAAATGCCACAGACATCTTAGAAACCTCTGGAACTCTCCAGAGGGCACCAAAAGAACTGAGCCCCTCCCCAGCCCTGCACAGTATTAGAGGGATCTGTTCGGGAGCTGGCTCTGGGGAGGCCCACACCCCTGCACTCACTGGGCACAGCCAGGACACACATATAAGAAGATGAAGACAGTGCCAGGGCCCTCGGGAGGCCGGGCAGGAGACCCCATGCATCTGGCTGCCTGGGCCTTGGAGGGGCAGCTCGGCCTAAGACATTCTCCCCCACCCCCTGTGACCCCCATGACCAGTACATATTGGCTGGGGCTACGAGGTCCCTTCAGCCTCAATTCAGCTTGAACTGGGACATTGCATCAGCAACGAAGGGAGCCCAATAGGAGGGTGAGAAAGGAAAATAAAGAAAACACTACTCTGGGATTTACGGATTTAATTTAAAAAGTTAAAGTGCTCCCCTCCTCCTTTCCTTCTAAAGCAGATGAAAAGCAAAATCCACCCCCCTTTTAAAAAAAAAAACCCAAACATTCATGGTGCAGTTTTTATTGCTCTCAAAGGCTCAGTGTTCAGACACACAAGCTAAGCTTTTAGATTGGAAGGAAAAGGGAGATTAAACCTGTGCTTGTGGCCGCCACCAGGTCTACCCTTGGCCTCTCCGCGGGAAGCCGCACTGACCCAGCACAGAATCAACCCATTGTATATGAATGCCAAAGGGAGGGGGCGTCTCTTGGAAGCAAGAACTATCAATCAAATGGCAAAGGTCTAAATTTGCATTTCCAGGTCTCAGAATATGCACAGTAGTACCCTTCAACTTTTTCCTTTAAGATTTTGTAGGTGTTAGTGAATTAGTGAGTGACACAGACAGAGGAGCAGCATGCTGCAGGAGCCAGGAAACCCTGGGGGGCAGCTCCCCGGCACCCTGTGCCCAGCACTGCCACTGCTGGAGGCCAGGCTGCAGGGCAGGTTTCAGATGGGGGGGAAGGACACGCTCAGACCAAAGTGGTTTCAGGGGTTTTGTTCTGTCCTGCTTGGTGCCCACTCCCCTGTGTCACGCCCACCTCCATAGCAGGGCAGACTCAGCCAAGCAGTGTTTGCTTTATAAAGAAAATGAGCTGACAGATTTCCCCAAACACTGAGGCCAATGTAATTACCCTCTCAGGTTAGTTTATACTTCCCTCAGTTTTTTCCTCAAAAACTCAACCTCCCTCTATTCAGAATGTTGGCTACAATATAGCAGAGATATCCATTTTTTTTATTTTTCCCCTTGCTAAAAAAAGATGGGAGGAGTGTGACTTTAAACAGGTGAGTTGAAAGTTGAGGAAAAAGCCAAATGCAGGTGGGCTGAGGGTGCTATGACTATGCTGAGCCAAGGAAGTGCTGGGCCTCAGGGGAATTTGGAAGAGACTTTCCTCCTAAGCCTGTGGGCCCAGCCAGGCATTAAATGTGCCTTGGAAACTTCTATCTGGGCCGTGGGCCACAGGGACCTCAGTGTGAGCACAAGCACTTCTGTGTCACTCATGAGCGGGGCACTCATGGGGGTGGCTGGGCTGACAGCCCCCCCCCACTCACACACATCTAAGGTCCTGCAGGAAATTGAGACCCAACAAGAGATCAGCTAATAAAAGTAAAATCTGTAAAGCCAACAGGCTCGCACTAACCATCTCCAACTACCTCGAAAAGAAAGAGGTTTGACGGTGACATCCCTTCTTAAACAGTGCTCCAGCTGTCCTGCAGGGCTCCTGGTTTGCTGGGGATGGCCCAGTGCAGCCCTCCCTGCCTGGCACCCTGGAATCCGAAGCCCACGGAGAAGAGAGGGGCAAAGGGGCTGCGCCTGGACACCCCACACTCCTCCAGTGCTCAGGGGCCTTCCCACGCTAGAAATGGCCTGAAGGTGTTTATACCCAGGGCCTACACGCCAGGCCAAGGGCAAACAGCCCTACAGAAGACAACACAGGGGCGGGACTTCAGCCAGCTCGGCGCGGGGCAGGGGAGGCAATCTGAAAGTCAATCTGATTTACATTCGGTGTGTGCTTATCGCTAGGGGGCGCTCTGCATGGCCCTGGATCTAGAAGCCGAGGGCCGTGCCTAGCGGAGCAGGCGAGTGAGCCCCCCCGGGCCCAGCCAGTGCGTTCCCAGGAGGACAGCAGAAATTCATGAACAGTTTTTTTGGGGTGCAGGGGAAGAGGTGAGGGGACAAGTTAAATTCCCAAAATAACTGATAAAAACCAAAAAACTCCATCTAGGTTTCCGGAGAGAAAGCAGCCAAAGGCTTTTCTTGGAAGTGGGTTCTTGAGACTGAGGCCGCCACCCGCCGCACGGAGGATGCCAGGCCTGGCTGGGGAAGCTGACCATACTCATCTGGCTTTCCGAGTTCTCACTCTTGGCTCAAGTTTTATTTGTTAATATTAGTCACCAGTTAATAAGAAAAATAGTTTCTAAGTGTCTTTTTTCCTCCGCTCTGTGTGTTTTCTGTTTTTAATTGAGTTAATAGGATACCACCGTCAGGTTACGTGTGTTCAATCACAGCATTAATTATTCCTTTTTCTTAAATTCTTGGTTTCCATAGCTGGAGCCTTTTTCTATTTCAGTTACTCCTATCAGTCTGCGAACTCCAAAGGAAGCTTTAAAACAGGAAAGAGAGAGGAGAGGTCAGGCTGAGCACTGCCGAGGTGCTGTGACAGTGTTGGGGGGCCTTCCACCAGCCCCCACCTGCCTGACCTGCCCTCTGTGCTCAGCGAGCTCCAGGGTGGTGTGGGCCGGCTGCAGGCACAGCTCAGGTGGGTCAGAGGGGCTGCAGGGCATGTGGCCATGCTCTCTGTCCAGCTGTGCTGTGCCCTGCCGGCCAGTCTCCAGTTCTCACCTGGTCTGAGCAGGAAGGCTTCAGCACATCCTGACAGACTGGCCACATAACACCCTACAAGGGACCAAGGTGGATGAGCAGGGCAGAGGTACCTGGCCACGTCCCACCCTTCACGGGTGCTCCCGAGTCAATGTGTCATCCAACAGGAGAGGACAATGGCAGTCACTGCCTCTCAGACCCTCCACCCAGTTCCTGGAAAGTGGTGGGCAGGGGCAAGGGAGGGGTCAGGCCAGCTGGAGTAGGCCTGGCCATCAGCTGACAAGGCACTGCCTGTCCATTGCTCAGGGACCGGAGGGTGCCTGTGTTCACTGCAGAGATGGACTTGCTTGCTCCCCCCAACAATCTGAGTCCTGGCAGGTGCCTGGCACCATGCTCAGAGCTGGGCACCAGCAGGGCAGTCACTAAAGGTAATGGGAGAGTGCCAGATGATGAAAATATCCAGGTTAAACCTTCAGAGTGGCTCCCCCAGCCCACGCTCCTGAGCCCACGTGTAGACAGAGGAACTCAGGACCTTTTCACAGCCTCCTGTGCAGCTGGCAGGGCTGAAACCTAGGACAGGCAGCTCCCCAGCTCTCTGAGGGGATGACCCTGCAGCTCAGGGTTAGGAGCCCAGCCTCTGAACCATGAGGCTTGGATTGGTTCCCAGCTCCCAAGGTCTATAATCATCAACCCACTGCCTTGAAGGGGCACCGTGATGAGTTGTCCAGTCCTGGGTGCTGTGGCTGGCACAGTGAGCCCCCCTAACCTGTGAGCTATTAATATTAGTGCCCATTACCTGCTCCCACAAACCCCAGGAACGTCAGGATCAGGAGAGGGGATCCACTTGCAAAGACACCCAAGACAAAACTGAAGAGAGGAGAGAGGAGGATGGTGGCCCAGCAGAGGAAATTCAGAAGGGTCCACGGCCTTCTGGCGGGTTTAAACTGCTCCCCTGGAAACTCGCCCTTCTGGTTGTACATCTCCTGCAGTGCGTCCTGAAAGAGCCAGAAAGAAGAGAGTGAGCCTCCTTAGTGCAGGAGAGAATTGCGGGCAACAAAAAAAATGACTCAACCTAAAAAAAAAGTGCCACATAAATTAAGCAGACAAATCTCAAAAGCTGCAGGTGGGATACAAAACTAGCTTTACCTTTTTGGAGAATCTCTGGTACCTTGCATCAAAAGCTTGAAAATGTATAAGCCCTTTGACTCGGGAAAACAACCAGTCAAGTGAGCAAAGGTGTAAATATAAAGCCTGTGGCCAGCACGTGCCTGACTACGGTGGACCACACACACCACATCCTGACCCTTCCTCTAAGCGCAAGGTGGCCGGCCTCGAGTCTGGCCTGTGTGGGAGTCCTGCGCCTGGGCACCTGTCCTGGCATCATCCACTCTCAGTGGACCACCCACAGAAAGTTCTTTGCCCTCTTATTCCTCAGTTTCTTGGTCTAGCAAAGGAGGCTACCGCGGGGGTGTGATGAGGGAGAGGACAGATGAAGATGCAGGAGGAGGCTGGCCATGGAGTCTCCAGATGACACTGTCCAATCATTTGCCAAGTGGAAATGGGGAGTGCTCTAACAATTGAGACCGCAGGATGCCTGAGAAACCATGAGGCTGAGCAGAATGGAACCCTCCATGGCTACCACCTGTGATCGTATGGACATATTATCACAGCAAGGAAATACATTCAAGATATTTTAAGATTTTTGACAGAAGCAGCTAAAGTACCATACAATTCCAATTAAATTAAAAACTGTGTGTGACTGATGTGCGTGCATGCTGTGTGCCTGTGCATGTGTGTATGCACCAAGTTTGGAAAGATCCACACCACGTTGTTACTAAGGACCTGGGCGTATGGGCTGTTATTTTCTTTCTTTCTGTTTTACTTTCTGCGTTCCATTTTCTACAGCTGTGGTTGCATTATATAAACACAGGGTGTGGGGGGAGCATGACACACACCCTGTCTTGCTGCTGACAGATGTCAACTGCCCTGCTATTCCTGGAGGCACAGGGGCAGATGCTGGACAGGCCTGTGTGGCCAGGAGCTGCTGCGGTGGGCAACGTACCTGGCACACTTCTGATCAGGGCTGGGAAACAACTTGAATGTCCACAGGTAGGAAAATGAGTGACAGGTTATCAGCGGGTGGTGGAATGCCACTCAGCATTTAAAAGGCATGAATTAAATCTATTTATGTCAGTGTGAACAGAAAAACAACGGTGACTAAGAAAAAAAGAAAATACAAGAATGCTACGTTAAGTATGCTATCCTTAAAGTAAACTAAAAACTGAAAATGTCACATTATTATGTTTCAGTATTGTAAAAAAGCACACCAAGTAATGTAAAAATACGTAGGTAAATCAGCCATGTCAAAACTTGTCATCTGCTGCACTTTATTTCAGGTTATTCTAGAAGCAAGATCAGAGATAGAGAAGAGGCCTGCCCTTGCCTCAGAGCCATCACCCCCAACGGGCGAGTCACTCCCAGGTCTGGTTGTACCTTTGCACTGTGTGTGTGTGAGTCACAAACCTGCCGCATGTTCTTGCAGTTTTCTGTGAACACGGTACCGTCACACCACCAGCGTTCTGCAACCTGCTCTCGTGACTCAGCCGTGTCCATGATATAGGAATGAGATCACTGATTTTTTTTTGTTTTTGAGACAGAGCCTCAAGCTGTCCCCTTGGGCAGAGTGCCATGGCATCACAGCTCACAGCAACCTCCAACTCCTGGGCTTAAGTAAGTCTCCTGCCTCTGCCTCCCAAGTAGCTGGGACCACAGCTGCCCGCCATAATGCCTAGCTGTTTTTTGGTTGCAGCCGTCATTGTTGTTTGGCGGGCCGGGCTGGATTCGAACCCACCACCTTAGGTATATGTGGCTGGCACCTTAGCCACTTGAGCCACAGGCGCCGAGCCAGAGATCACTGATTTTCAATGTCACATCAAATGGATACGCAACTCAGTGTAATTCTTTCCTAATAATGACCTTTTAACCTTTTAGGTTGTTGCTAATTGCCAGCTAGAAGTACTGTTGCTTGCAAATGTCACTCATGTTAGAGTTTCAAACTTTTAAACCTGACCCGGATTCAGAGATGAGCTTCTCTCCGCAATCTAGTACAGTACACACCTCTCTCCTCCTGGCTCCCTACATGAGGTAAATGCACTGTATTTCTATTTTGGGGGGTTTTATTTTCTTCTTGAGAGAGTCATTGGTCTAGGAAATCACATACTTTATCCCACTTTTCGGATGCGTGAGATGAACCTGGCTGACCGCCCCAACTCCCTGCTCTTTAGTTTTGTCTCCTTTTTTTATTCCTATTAATCTCATCACTTTTTAAAAATTATTCAGTCTTGCCCAAGTTAACTATTTTAATGATTTTTTTCAAGAAAAAGCTTTTGGTGCAGCTGATCTGCTCTCTCTTCTGTAGCTTTCTGTTTAAATAATGTCTGCCGTTATTTTTATTATTCTCTTCAGGTTCACTCTGCTGTGTGTATGTATTATAATGAATCGTGTGTACACACACACGTGGATGACCATGCAGACAGGAGACCCTGCCTGTGGAAACCTGCCTCTTGGGTGCTCCTCAGTGAGCAGTGGGTCTCTTCTCTCTGGTTATTCTAAGCTCTTCCCATTACCTTTGATGTTCAGTAGTTTTATTAATGTGTGGGGGTAGATTTCTTTTTTCTTTTTACTTTCCTTTTTTGTGACGGACTCTCTCTTTGTGCCATGGTGTCAGCCTAGCTCACAGCAACCTCAAACTCCTGGACTCGAGTGATCCTCCTGCCTCAGCCTCCCAGAATGCTGGGTTACAGGTGTGAACCACCATGCCCAGCCTGGCTAGTCTCAAACTCTAGACCTCAAGTGATCCTCCAACCTTGGCCTCCCATTTCTTTTTATTTATCCTATTCAGGACTGGTACTTCATGAACCAAATAGAATCCATTTCTGGAAATTTTATCAATTCTGACAATTACCATATTGATCTCCAGCTGAGTTTTGTTTGTGAAAACCTTGAACGTGAGGTGTGGAGCTGTGTCTCCCAGTTTTGCATTTGTTTCTCTCAGGAACTCTAAAGTGATTTACCTAGAACCAATTTTTATGCTTCTTGAACTGTGTTGTTAGTATAAATGCAAACCTCCAGCCTGTTTGAAGGCAAGCTTCAAGGTTGATTCTCTGGGTGGGAGGTGGTCTTCAGTCTGACCTGATTCAGGGTGGGACTCTGAGTGGTCCCAACTCAGAACTAGGTTTCTAGTTCTAAAGTCCAGCCTTGAAGGAGATCTAATCTTTATCCCCTGCTTCCATGCAGGCATTAAATCTCGGACCTCAGGAGATGGGGACCAGAACACCGCAGAGCACGCAGCACTGCAGAGCACGCAGGCTCTTCTCCTGGCTCCTGGTTCACCTCTTGTCAGTCCCTAGAAATTCCCTTCGTTTTCTACAGAGCTCATCAATGTATTTAGAAGGGTAATTATTATGCTTTCTGGTCATCTGGTCTCCCACCACGCAGAAAATGGGAATCTATGCATTTGTGTGTATAAAATAAATTGGAAGCAGGTGCTGGGGTGAGGTGTGCTGTGGAGGAAGGAAACTGAGCACGTCTTGGACAGAATCTTCCAGCATTACATTGCGTCTCTTACACAAGTAGTCTATTGTATATCTAGAGTCTGTCTGTTCCATCTCCATGAGTTCTTTCATGTAAGAAAATGAAAGAAGTGTGGCAAAATATCATCATCCATGGTTCTGAGGGTTCTGTTATCCTTCACACTTTGCTCTAGTGTTAATTTCTTGAAAGTCAAGAAAAAGGAAAGGAAGAATCTGACATATCTGAGAGCTGCGTGGTGCTCTCGTCCTCAGAGGGAGACTGTGTATAGCCTGCCCGCCCTGGTCGCTGCCCCAACACCTCTGTGTCCTGCCCACCCTGGCCACTGCCCCTGACACTTCTGCGTCCTTCCTGCCCCCGCCACTGCCCCCAACACCTCTGCGTCCTGCCCGTCCTGGCCGCTGCCCCGACACCTCTGCGTCCTGCCCGTCCTGGCCGCTGCCCTGACACCTCTGCATCCTGCCCACTCTGGCCACTGCCCCTGACACTTCTGCGTCCTTCCTGTCCTCGCCACTGCCCCTGACACTTCTGCGTCCTTCCTGCCCTCGCCACTGCCCCTGACACTTCTGCGTCCTTCCTGCCCTCGCCACTGCCCCTGACACTTCTGCGTCCTTCCTGCCCTCGCCACTGCCCCCAACCCTCTGCATCCTGCCCACCCTTACCGCTGCCCCGACACCTCCGTGGCTGGCCCGCCCTGGTTGCTGCCCCAACACCTCCATTTACCTTCTCCTGGTAGAGCTTGTGGAGCCACTGAGCGGCTTCCTTCTCATCCAGGGGGATTTCTTCCAGAGGAAATCTCCTGTTTTATTAGGAAGATTAAAAGAGAAGTAAATTACCTGAGGACAATAAACATAATAGAGGGAGAAGAGACGCGTGAGTTACTGTGCACCAGGGTGACCCGTGGGCTCGGCTTTTTCTGCTCAAGTCTCATCCTCAGTTTCTGAAAATAAGCAAGACGCAGAGCACTTGCTCGCGGGTGTTCACCCCAGTATCTGGGAGGGCCGCGCTGCTGCCTCTGCGTGTGGGGAGCAATAAGTGCCTGACAACAAGGGCCTCTGAGCAATTCCACTGGGCAGGTCCTGGTCCCAGTCCCACTGCAAAGGCGACATTTATGAGCTTTGAAGTTTTGATTTTTCTTTATATGATCATTTTTTAGAAGGAATCATGATGGACACTGTCCTTCATTAGGCAAAGAAGATTATATATTTCACAAAAGAAATCTATTTGCTTCAAATATGAAAGGTATTAAAATTTAGAGGCTTCTTTTTGGAGACACTCTTGCTCTGTCACCCAGGCTGGAGTGCAGCAGCAGCACCAGAGGTCACTGCAGCCTGGGACTCCCGGCTCAAGTGTGGGATTCCAGGCGGGAGCCACGGTGCCTGGCCCTCACATGCTTTAGAAAGTCAGTGAGAGGCTCGGCGCCTGTGGCTCGGCCGGCTGGGGCGCCAGCCACGTGCACCTAGGGTGCGGGTTCGAGTCCCCAGCCCGGACCCGCCAAACAACAATGA